TTACTTATCAAAGCAGATAGATCTCATTCTCTTATTTGATTGTCACACACATTCTGCAGTAATTATCCTCACTATTTAGAGATAAAGAACATGAGACAATGAGGATTCGCCAAGATCACACAACTGTAAATGGCCAAGCTGAGAAATAAAACCCAAATATTGTAGTTCAAAATATCCCAATCCTATGTGGGATTTTTGTTTTGTGGATTTTTTTTTTGCCATAACTATACCACAAGACCTCCACAGTATCTGCAAAAGTGACAGGAGGCAGTGTGGAGTAGAAACATCAGCCAAGTTACCTGCAGAAGGAGAGCAGAGAGCCTTGTCTGAGGCTTCACGTGGCAGTTGAAAGCAGGGGGAAACGGTGAATGCCTCTAGCATGGCTGTCTCCTGCCTATTCCACAGGGGCAGGGGCGGGCTGACACGGTCCCACCACTGCTCACGTCTTCTTGGTTGTGGTCCTCTCCAAGTTCTGCATGATCTGACCCTCTGTTCCTTCCTGCCCTCTTTTCTTATAGGTGTTTCCTGCTGACTCTGCTCTGACCATACTGGCTTCTGAAACACACCCAATGTGTTCCTACCTCGGGGACTTCGCATCTGCTCTTCCTTCTGTCTGGAATACTTCCTCCCAAATCCACATGGCTCGCTCCTCCACTCCTCTCAGGTGCTAACTAAAAAGTCCCCTTCTTTTTGAGGCCTTAGCTGGCCACTCTATCGATTACCATAAACCATTGGTAATTGCCCATATTACACCATCTTCTAACTTACACAAATATCAACTGTGTGTGACAAAACCTAATAAAATGTAACCTGCCTCACAATGTCCCCTTTCCCTCTCACTGCTCAATGTGTTCCCTTGTCCCTCTTCACCATCTGTCCGACTCTGGTCTACTGATTTATTATGTTTCTCCTCCATTAGAAGATAAGCTCCAGGAAGAAAAAGATTTTTATTCTGTGCTGTATTCTCAGAGCCTAGAACAGAATCTCCCACAGAGTAGGTGCTAAATATTTGCTGTAGGAATAAGTTTCACTGGGAGGAGGGGGGGGTGGGGAGGGGAGGCGATGAGACTGGGAAAGTTAGGTACCTAGCGGTAGAGAAACCCAACCAAATGGCATGTGATCCAATGATGTATAGAGTCCTTCCCCTGCTCGACATGGGGTGGACACAAGGAAGGAAGTCAGCGCAGTATAGGGTAGAGGCTCCATACGACAAAACCTCACTAATTAGGACCATCGTACGTCTTTGCAAAATTCTCCTCATGCCTTTGTACAAGATAAGTCTTCATGGAGGAAATAGACAGGTGCCTTCTTTTTGGTGCAGTTGCTTACAGTTAAGAGTCTCCCTGGGGACCAATTCCAGCACTGTGGCAGAGTTTTCAAAGACTACAAGTAAAGGTAAGAGCTGCTAGAACCCTTGGAAATACTTGTCATTGGAGTTTCCAGTGTTCTCGTCTCCACCTTTGGTTGAAAAGATACTATCATCATAAAAACTGTTAGAGCTAATCAGTATAGGCTCCTCCCCTACTAATTCGTCTGCCTGCTAAATTTAAGGTGAAATTAAAATGATTTCAGTAACATTCCCAAGCAAGTCCTTCCCAAAGACTTCTTGAATTTTCTCCTTGGAATCCCATACCAGCCACAGCTCCTAAAACTGCTGAACTAACAGTTTCCAGCTCTACTGCTTAACCACTGTGTGAGTTTGGGCAAATCATACATCCTCTGCAACTGCACTTTCCCATCTTTAAATCTACCTTATAGATTTGTGGAGAGTAACCAGGTTAATAAACATGAAATCACATCATGAAGGATGAAACACAGATGGATCTATATGAAGATGATGCTACTACAGGAACGTGGGCCTAACCTCTACCTACAACTAGCCAAACTAAAAGAGTAGTTAGGTGCTTCCTTCGACTCTAGCAGTAGCAAGATAGGAGAGAGCTTTGCCTGCCCCTTGCCAACTCTCAAGTATCCCTTACTTCTTTCTATCTTCGACGGTGCAAGCTAGCAAGGCCTTCTACCACAGTGCATCAGTAGCTTTGATGGAAAATAACCCAGCCATTGAGTCCCTTTCCTGAAATGAAAGGTTCTTTAGCCTCAAATCTGAAACATGCAAGGACAGGGCATCCTGCATGGAAACGGACCCTTTCTTCTAAACATTTCAAATTCCCCTCTTTGTGTTTCTTGCATAAGCACACACAAAGCTTTCAAGCTTCTTAGCAGGATGCTTCATAGCTTTCAAAGAATATGTAGAATTACCAAGGAAAGTTCCACAAGCATTTTAGAAGCTCCAGGTCCCTATGACCTGTGTGCCCGGTTACTTTTCTAACCATCCCTCAGACCATAACATGAAAGCAAGGTTATCGATGAGTGCTCACATCGATAACTGACATGTCACAATCTCTTCCACTTCTTTTTAATTGAAAAATATCCTGAGGACAAGGAAGAAATCTATGGAAAAATAAGGAAATACCGGTTTGTATTTCTTTATAACAATGCTGCATTATGTTTGAGAGGTCTCATGGCATGGAATGAACAGATTACCATTTTGATAGGATCAATCAGTCAGTCCCTGAGCAGGTGTTGGTTTCTACCTATTCAACGTCAGGCTCTGACTGTGCTAGACAGAGATGAGGCTGACAGGTCCTCCCGTACAGACCTCAGGCTAGTGGATGAACCACATCCACCAACAATCCATCATGTGAGAGCTGAAGTGGTTGGAGCCAGAACAGTGGCTGTGGTGTTGGAAGAGAGGGGAGAGATAGGGGGGGTGGGGGCTGGAATTAACAGAATTTTCTTCATCAAATCCATCAGTTCTTTCCTAAGTGCCATTTTTCCATCTTACTGCCTACATGATAAACAATCCATTGCCTAATTTTTGAAAGAACTTCAGTAATATTTTATGAAAATATAGAATATATAAAACTATGCTGCATTCATCTACACTGGAGTGGTAATTTCTTACAATATCAGAAAGAATGTGAGTTGAAGCCTCAAGAAAACACTTTTCTTATATTCTGTGAAGATCAGTGGCGTAGATGTAGTTGGCTCATCTCTGCATCAAAATATGTTTCATCCAGTTAAGCACTACTTAAAAATAAAACACAGATCTCCTCACTCTCTAATGTCTCATGATGTGAGTATCTGCTCTAATTATCTGCTAATATACACACAGTTCACTACCCAAGCCTACTAAATAAATCTATTTAGGTTGCATTCGAGAATGTGTTTAAGTCATGGGCTGCTGGCCAAAAGGATGTGGTTTACTGCTACTATATCTCAGATATTCTCCTAATAGAGTCCCCGTCGTTTAAACATGGTATGCTTGATATTTTCTTCCCCGCATTATCAGGAAAAGGTCTTCTAATAAAGTAGAGAAATGAACGCTGGAAATGGGCAAGCCTGAGAGGCCTAAAGCACACGCTCTACAAGAAAAGTTGGGAGTGATAAAGCACATTTAGAGAGTTGAATGGTGATTAGTCTTAAGCTTGGCTGTGCACGTGTTCCCAACTCCTGTGAACCACAAATACAATGCTGAATATTTACAAGACATTTGAGATTCTTGTAAAAAAAAATTTTGCTGATGCAAGTGAGTGTGATCATAGTATGAGCAGACCTGCCACTCTGAAAGCATACATTCGGTCTTCTGTTAGCGAAAGACATAGAACACCAAGCAAAGGGAATGCAAACAGACTGCCACCGTGAGCTCTGCTTTTCATCCCATTGCCCTGTGTGTAGCTTCAGACCATGGTTCACAGCCAAACACCTCTGAACTTTCCTGCCAGGAAGGGAAGATTCGCCCTGTTCCTTAGATACAGACATAGATGTATCTCAGACATTTCCTGTTTAATGCATATCTTCATCAGCTCTTTCTTCCTTACCTCCTCCTGCCACCAAATAGTAACAGTGACCACAGCCTCCAACTCCCTCTTGTCACCACCAGACCTCACACAAACATGCCTTCAATCATAAGAAACCTCTTGAGAAACTCTCTTGTTTATTTTATTTTGCTAAGTATTACTGGCATGTAATGCACATCTTTAATGCATTATTTTGTTACTTATTTACATGTACCTGCCCATTGTGATGTGAAAGGAAAATGTAACTCATTCTCAATGCTATCCACTGAACAGTGGATAGTATTATGGCTTACTACATACAAACAGACCCACTAATGAGGTCATCAAGTATTAAATAAGTAGATAGGATTACAAGTAATTTCTATTTTACTGAAATCCTTAGTGACTTGTTAAATAGGTGTATGAAGGGGTTTTAAGGATATTTGACAAATTGGCATTTTCCTGTGGGTTAAGAATGCATTTTTATTTTTCCCACTGAAAATAATGGAATACTGGCTGCTGTTCTCTGAAAATTTGCAAACAAACAAACGTTAAAGAACAGATTCCATTCACAAAAGAGGGGCATCTGTACAATAGCAGTTACCACAATGCACACTGTTTCTTCTACCATTTAAAAGTGTTTCAAGGGGCCGGCCAAGTGGCTCAGTTGGTTAAGAGCTCGCTCAAGAGTGTGAGCTCTGAGCAACAGTGGTTCGAGTCCCACCAGAGCTGAGCTGTCACTGAGCTGCCAACAGGTGGCAGGATGGCTCAGCTAAAATAAATAAATAAATAAATAAGTAAATAAATGAATAAATATTAAAAAATAAAGTAAAAATGTTTTAAGAAAAAGAAGTAACCAAGTACTGTTTTTAAATATACTGTGTTAGTTTGAAAGTCATTAAATGTCTGTGTCAGTTAACTTTGCTCTATTTATTGCTTTTTAAAAAGTAAAAAGCCAATCACTTGTATTTACATTCAGTTGGAAAAATATGAATTATATTAGCTGGGAAAGACTAGTAGATCACTATTTGGGATTCAATGATGTGTTTGTTTGCATTTTGATAGAAAAAATATTTGAAGATGTTATTTCTCTTGTTTCAGTTTTACTTAATAAAAGTGTGTTCACGGTCTCCATTACTTACGTCACCCTTAGCCTCATACCTATAGTCAGAAGATGGACATTCTTCATCTGAATCTTGTATCACTATAACATCTTCATTGGCTTTCTTCATATCGGCAAGTTCCTGCAGAAAAACTGGCATGTTAGATACTTTAAATGGACTTATAGAGTAAAACTACCTGACAAATTTGTATAGCATGTAGTAAACTCAGAAGCAAGCGCATATCCAGTGTCACAATTAATCTGCATAGCAATGTCAGAAAGGCACTGGATTCTACAGATGGGAAACTGAGGGTTACAGAGAAATAATGATTGGCCCAAGACACACAGCTAGTAGATCCGGGGTCAAAGTAGATCCATTTCAAAGTTAAACTCTGAGTTCACTGCTCTTTCCACTGTGCTACTATGAAAAAAAAAATCTTCATCCAAAAAAAGTCCTCTGTGCTTGCAAGATCTCTTTCCAAAATGAACACTAATCTGGAACAAAGATCCTAGAAAAACTGGAATAGATCACAAATAGAGGTCCTTGTGCCATGAGGGGGACTAGGGTGACAGTGCTCTTTCACAGAGAAGGAGTTAGATTTGTGGGATGACCCCCAAGATGGGATGTCTGCCTTCAGATGTGAAAGCTCAGATCCCAGAGAGCTGCCAGAGATGGATAATGAATGGGGCAATAAGATCAAGCAGCTTCCTTCATTTGCTTTTCTCTCTACTACTTTTCTCACCATCTTAAATTTGGACAAATACAAAAAAAATGTTTAAAAATTTTTTGAAAAAAATCTATCACTGCTCTAAAATTGAATGTAAAGCAGTCCCTCACCATTTCTGAATTGTGGGCAGTTGAAGCCCACATTTAAAGGCAGAGAGGAAAAGTACAGTAGGTCTTTTGCCCTCTCTAGATCCTAATAATAACCGTAATTAAGATAACAATAATAATGATGATTGTGATGACTATAATAGCTCACATTTACTGAGTGCTTACCATATATGAGGTGCTGTCTTAATTTCTCTTCACAACAACCTTAAAAGGAGGTACTCTTATCATCATTTATAGAGAAAGAAAGTGAGGCTAAACGAAGTAAATGACTTAAGGAAGGTCCTGCAGCGAGTAGGGAATGTATTTGAACCGAGCTGGTAGAGAAAAGGATTTGAAGCCGGCTGGTAGGGAAGTGATTTGAACCTAGGTGGTCCAGCACAGGCCTCTTGTAAGGTGGTTGGATGTGTTGTATGTCACAATGTCATCACAGTATTAACATGGCCCAAACAGAGCTCTTGATTTAGACCTTTCCCTGCACGCACACGTGCATACACACGCGAGCGCACACACACACACACGCACACACACTGCCCAACCCACACTGTCCCAGCCTTGCTCAGGTCATTAGTGGCACTTCCATTTACTGAGCTGCTCAGGCCTAAAAGATAAGAGATATCCTTGAGTTGCCCTCTCTTCTCCCACCCATTCAGCAACGAATTTGGGTTTTATCTCCAAAATAGAATCCAAATCTGTGTACTTCGATCTCTATTACTATAATCCGAGTCCAAGTCTTATTATCATCTCTCACATGACTCCTCTGGCTTCCATTCTGACCACTCTGCACTTCCTACCCTCACCAGTCATTAGCATCGATTCTCTTTCATCATCTCCATGACACTTGTCTACTGTCTAGTTCGCCTAATGTTTCCCTAGCTCCTAGCACAGTGCCTGGAACACAGTAGGTGGTTATTAAATATGTTACTTAGTGAATCAATTCATTGAGCCTGAATCTATCAGGTGAATTCTAAAGGCTGATTTTTCTTTGTAGAGACAGAATCTGTGAGTCTTACATTAGGAGAGCACTACGTGATCCATGTGGGGTAGGAGGCTGCCTCAAAATGCACCGTGGGACAGGAGACTTCCTTTATCCACCTGCAAAAATGGTCCCTTCTCTTACTATAGCCCAGCAACCAGCCCCTGTATGCCTTTTATATTATACCCAAACCACTTGGAAATGACTGTCCATCTCTTTCAGGTGTGTTCAGATCTCCACTTAGGCGCTCAGCTTCTGAAATGCAAGAGCTGATCTTCCCTCATTCACACATCCTAGCACAACCCTCCACGCACACTGGCTACCTTATGGATGCTGTCCAGCTGCTGCAGGACCAAAGAGGACGTGGCCCTTCAAAGGAAGCCCACATTGCCACAATGGCTGAGAGGCGCACACACAACATACTCACCTGTAGGATCGGAGCCCTGAGGACACAAACGGTCCCCACCATATAAAATCGATCCTCCAGAGGAAGGACTGTGGAAAGTGACATATTGTAGGTTTGCCTGGGGAAGCAGCTTTTCAAAAGTGTCACAGGCCCTATGGAAGATAGAGACACACATGTGACAATCTAATAGAAAAGCAGGCCAGTTACATAAGAAGATGGAAAAGTTACACAACTTTCAAACTTCTGAGCCCTAGATATTTTCCTGCCTTCCTTCTGTTCCAGCCACCCTCCCCATCCTGGTGGCCACTGACACATCAAGTCATTACTGAAAAATAACTGTTGTGAGTTCAGGGTGATTTTCAGTCCTGTGTCCTAACCCTGTCGATGATATTTTAGTCTCCAAAGGAAATTTAGGCCCCTCGCTTATACACACCACACATGTATTAAATGTGTGTGTGTAATTTGTGTGTGTATGTAGTCAAGTAAGATTTTTTTTAAAGTACCTGACTTCTATTTTCCAAGACACACGACAAACATATCAGGCAATTATTGTGTGAATTAATTTATATTGTTTATTTACTCATTCATTCATTCATTCATTTGTTTATGCTTTCAAACAAAAAGCTGAGTTAATTATACTTTTAGTTCATTGCATATTATGAATACAGGTAAAGTCCCTGCTCTTTTTATTTTTTCCTCTCTGTCCCTTCCCCACCCACAAACACTCACGCTCATCTTACATCTTTTATATTCTTGTAAACTATGTAGTCTGGCTTTATGTATATGTGTTTACAATTTACAAAAGTGGCATTATCCTATAGCTCTCATTCTGTGCCTTACTTTTTTTAATGAACAATATGGTTTTAAGATTGAACTGTTGTAGTATGTATATCTAGAGTTAATTGCTTTTAACTATTACCAAGTTTTCCATGTTATGTATTTCTCAAATTGTCCTTGTCCATTTCCCTAATGATGCACTCCTAGGCAATTTCCAAGCCCCTCCTACCACAAACAACACTATGGCTTGCAGAGTACATGTCCCCTTAGACACAGATCTCTCTGAAAGTTTGTCTCTGGGATATTTACACCCAGTGATGGGATTGCTGAGCCATAAGATAGTCAACCTAACTTCAGTTCACTGGTTTATGAGTTAACATTTCTCTCAACACTATTAGTTTTTTCATTTCTCACATCCTCATCAATATCAGGTATTACTCATACTTCGAATTGTTGCCATTCTGATGGGGGCACAGTGCTCTCTCGTTGGTTTTAAAATGTTTCATTCTTTGCTAACTAGTGAGCCTGAGCATCTTTTCACATATTTGTTGGGCTGTTTACCTCTGATTCAAGTCCTAGATGTTTCAATGGCCTCAAATCAGTGTTTATGTTAATTTCTCAGCTTGCAGCTCCTGAAACCTTAAAAACTGTAAAGTTGGACCCATACTCACAGGACACAGACTTGGGTTTTGATTTCCTGTAAATGGCACATTTTTTAACATTCAAATTCCGAGATGGCAACCTTATTGTTCCCCTAGGCCAGTGGAAAGAATTTAACTGATCATTTTAAGTCTCTAGGTTTTATGTGTTGGTCCTTGAATGAGTGTTAGAACTCTTGACTCCAGCCAATGGAAACTATGTATGACTTAAAACCCACCCAGGCCACCAAAAAAATCAGCTTCCTCTTATCACTGTGGTTCTCTACTTTGTCCTTTAATTTCTGGCACCCATGAACTTCCCTTTATTTTAAGCTTGGCTATGCATTAAACGTCTTTTGTTATATTTTAATAGGCATTTCCTTGCTTTTGTAGAAGGAAAAAAAAAATCCTTAACAGCTCAGTCCATCATGTTACCATATGACCCCACCTTGAAAATTTCACTGTTAATTTTTTTTAAGTTTAATTAATATCTGTAACCAAAACCTGTGGTCATCAGGATATCAGAGAGTTTGAGAGTACCGACAATAGAAGGACATTTATATTAGCAGTGAAGGGCTGCATAAGTCATGAACTTTATCTAGATCAAATTAAAAACTGAATTGCTTACCCTCAGCAAGATCTTCTACACTCATAATAAATTTCACATATTCGTAAGTAGGAAAATCACTATGTCTGGCTTGAGCTCTTCTTAAATGACAGCAAAACTCATTATGCTCCCCCACTCAAAGAAAACAGATACAAAACAAGTTTACATTTGTACCTTACCACATTCTTTGGGATTATTTCATATGACTATTGTCTTAGTTGGACTAGATTTTCCAAAAATATTATTTTCTTTCCATGAACATTAGCACTTGCATAGCTATGCTTATCTGTAGAGTGGGTTACCAGCTATAAGATTATTTATGTAACACTAATGCAATTATACAAAAGCTGAAGCAATCAGGGTTCAAGATAAAAAAAGGTTTTTTGGAGAAGAGATTTTTAACACTAGAAATATAATTTGTGAAATAGTATTAAGTCAAATTAATGTATAATCAGCAGCTATATTGGCTCTAATGTCTTTATTTTTGCTACTCCTCTGCGTGATTGTTACCTGTCTCTTAAAATTTAAGAACTTACTATTTGAAAAAAAACAATCTATACCTATGTTTGACACAGGAAATGTGAGAGCAATCTTTCTGAAGATTTCTCTTTTCTCTTCTTCAGGCAGAAGGCTTAGTAATCTTTGACCCACAAGCTCATCCTTGAGAAAGAAAGAGAGAGAGAAAAAATTTTGTTATATGTGCTATTACGGTTCACTTTTTCTATCTCCTTTACCTCCAGTAAACTTATCATCTGCCTGCCTCAGCAATCTTGTGATCATACGTATTGTACCTCTTCAAGTTCCAATTCACATTACCCCATTCTATAACCATCACCTCCTACCTTTTTAGTGCACTCAAGTACGGCATCTCTCCAACAATTATGCGACCCAGTGTGGCCTCCAGTTCATTCCTATCGCATTTTCACCAGGCATTATCTCCTGCAGATTGTTGCATCCCTCCTTACCCAGCTCAGGTTCCAAAGTCAATCATTATAATCAGTCCCATGTGCTTTTTTCTTTCTGACATATTTGCCTGGAAAAATCTCAACTCTGGTTAATTCCAACTCTTCATCTACCTAGTATCTTCACCCAAGCCACTGAATGTGTATGGAGAAAAACCCACAACCATGCTGTGTATTATTTAAAATGGGCACTCAGCTCTGACTAGAAATCATTCTACATTTCCCTAGACAATTCACTCTCCTCTTCAGTGTAACTATTGTATTTCTTGCCTTTTCATCTTTTGTCAAACCTCCAGCACCCTGTTCCTCATAAGCCCACGGCCTCGGCCCATACTGTGGCCTTTCATAAAATCTCTCGAAGGTCCACAAATCCCAAATAAGCAGCAGCTGGCCTCAGCATGCCCTGTACCTCTTGTTAGGCCCACAGCACTGGCGGTACTCATCCTCGGTTCACAGTACTGTCTCTCCCGGCACCTCCAAGTCCAGCAAGGCGGCAGCTACCAATTGCACGTCATTTTGTGGCTCCTACCAGGCGGCCCAGGGCCAAGCACAGGCAGTGGGTGACCTGGGCCTGCACCAGAGACACTGCCAAGAAGGCCCAGAACCAACAGAACAGGTGGCCAGCTTCAGACCACACCAGAGCACCACCTAATTAGCTCCACAAATGATACACCCAAAGGGTGGACTCACAAGGCACCAGAGCCTCGCTATAGGGAATCCTACTCTATGGGGTCAGCTCCCGCACTATAGCTCATCTGCTGTAGTCATGGTCAGTCCTCACAGTCATTTAGTCTGAGGGTCAATACCACCCATTGACATGCCAACAGCAATCAAGGCTCAACTACAGGAGAGCACACACAACCCACACAAGGCACAGCCCTAGAGCACTGGCCTCAGGTGACCAGGGAGTCTGCATCATTGAGCTCCACAGGATACCTAGTGCATAAGGCCACTCTGCCAAGACTGGAGGATATAGCCGATTTACCCAATACATAGAAACAAACAGAGGGTGGGGGCCAAAATGAAAAAAACAAGCATGACCCAAACGGAAGATCAGGACAAAGCTCCGGAAAAAGAGCTAAACAAAACGGAGGCAAGCCATCTACCAGGTACCGTTAAAAACACTGGTTATAAGGATGTTCAATTAACTTAGGGGAAGAGTAGATGTAATTAGTAAGAACTTACATAAAGAGATAGAAGCTATAAAAAACGACCAGTCAGAAATGAAGAATACAATAACCGAAATGAAGAATATGTTAGAGGGACTCAACAGTATATTAGATGAAGCAGAAAATTGAATCAGTGATTTGGAAGACAAGGTAGTAGAGAACACCCAATCAAAACAGCAAAAAGATCATAAAAATTCAGATAGTTTAAGGGACCTCTGGGACAACTTCAAGTGTAACAATATTCACACCATAGGGGTACCAGAAGGAAAAGAGAGAGAGCAAAAGATTAAAAATATATCTGAAGAAATAATGACAGAAAACTTCCCTAACCTGGTGAAGGAAATAGATATAAAAGTCCAAGAAGCACAGAGGGTCCCAAACAAGATGAACCCTAAGAGGCCCACGCCAAGACACATCATAATTAAAATGCCAAAGGTTAAAGACAAACAGAGAATCTTCAAATCAACAAGAGAAAAGCAGTTAGTTAAATACAAGGGAACCCCAATAAGACTGTCAGCTGATTTCTCAACAGAAACTTTGCAGGCCAGAAGGAATTGGCAGGACATATTCAAAGTGACATAAAGCAAGGACCTGCAAGCAAGATTACTCCACCCAGCAAGGCTATCATTTAGAATCAAAAGAGAAATAAAGAGCTTTTCAGACAAGAAAAAGCTAAAGGAGTTCATCATCACCAAACCAGTATTACAGGAAATGTTAAAGGAACTTCTTTAAGAAGGAAAAAAAAGATAAAAATACAAATAATAAAATGTCAATAACTACATACCTATCAATAATTATTTTAAATGTAAATGGATTAAATGCTCCAATCAAAAGACACAGGGTGGCTGAGTGGATAAAAAAAGAAGACCCTTACATATGCTGCTAACAAGAGACCTACTTCAGATGGAAAGACACACACAGACTGAAGGTAAAGGGATGGAAAAAGATAACGCATGCAAATGAAAATGAAAAAAAAAAGCTGGGATATCAATACTTATATCAGACTGAATAGACTTTAAAACAAAGGCTATAACAAGAGACAAACAAGGACATTTCATATACAATAGGAAAGATATGGAAGCAACCTAAGTGTCCATTGATAAGATGATTGGATAAAGAAGATGTGGTACATACTCTTATATACAATGGAATATTACTCAGCCATAAAAAAAGAATGAAATGTTACCATTTGCAACAACACACCTGGACCTAGAGGGTATTATGCTAAGTGAAATAAGTCAGACGGAGACAAATACCATATGATTTTCCTTATATGTGGAATCTAAACAAAATAAACAATCAAAACAGAAACAAACTCTTAGATACAGAGAACAAACTGATGATTGCCCAATGGGAGAGGGGTTGGGGGGCTGGATGAAAAAGGTAAAGAGATTAAAAAGTACAAATTGGTAGTTACAAAACAGTCATGGGGATACAAAGTACAACATAAGGAATATCGTCAATAATACTGCAATAACTTTATGGTGTAAGGTGGGTACTAGACATATCGAGGGACTATTTTGCAAGTTACGATATAAATGTCTAACCATTATACTGTACACCTGAAACTAATATAATATTGAATGTCAACTATAGTTGAAAAACTAAATAAAAAGTAAAACATATGTCAGATGAAGTTATTCTTCTGCTCAACATTTTCCACTGGCTACTGAACTCATTCAGAGTAAAAGCCAAAGTACTTACAATGGCCTGTATGTTGTGGTTCCTTGCTGCCTATTGACCTTAGCCCCTCCCACTCTCCCTCTTGCATTCGAGGTACACTGAACTCCTTGCTCATATCCCAAGACACCAAGCAAACAATCATCATGGAGCCCTTGAATTTGCTCTTCATTCAACGTGCAGTACTCTTTTCCAGATATTTGCAATGACTTTATCCCTTAATTCATCCAAGTCTCTATTCGAAAGTATTTCAAACAGCACCAATTCCCTCGCATTCTCTCTGCCATTTTTTTTCATAGCACTTATCACTACCTGACATTATAGTCCCATGTATATGTTTACCTGTTTATTATCTGTCTCCCTCAGTAAAATTTAAATTGCATTAGAACAGAGATCTTGTCTGTCTTATTCACTGCTACATCCTCAATACCTAGAACACAGCTTGGCACAAGTGAGCACTCAATAAATATTAGTTGAATGAATTAATAGTGCTGTATTATATAGATAAAATATGGTGACTCATGGATAAATAGAATATCAGATATTAAGTTATGAGGTTTTTTTTATTAAAGATATTTATTGGGGAATTGGGAGGATGGGAACAGTGCTGGGGAATTGGGGGAAGGGGAACAGACAAGTTGCTATAGTTTTGTTCTTCAGTCTAGTTGTGGAGGACGTTGCTTCACTGGCCCAAGTTGGCACCATCATTGCGCTCTTCCCAGGCGAGGCACATCAGTCGCCGGCTTCTGGACGGCCGCTCACTGCGGCTGCTGGCCACTCACGCTGGCTGCTGGCTACATACGGTAGCCCATGGCAACCCACTGCCACAGGGGCTGCAGCCTACGCCGTCGCCGGCGACTCACGGCAGCCCAGCTCCAGGTTGAGCTGTTGTTCAGCATCTTAGCTGTGGAGGGCAGTGTCACTGGCCCTCATATGTGGGATCCGAACCGGGGCCCTCTGGCGTCCCAAGCCAGTTCTTAATCATCGTGCCACTCACCCGGCCCAAGTTATGTGTTTTTAATGTGACAGGAACAAAGCAGTAAACAAAGTATTCTTTGTAGCCAAACAGCCGCCTTGGGTGATGAACCACAAATCCACGTGATTTTTAAACTGATGACTGTTAATAATCTACAGTCAAAATTCAAAAATATATTTTTATGGTTCACTTGTAGAAGCCACCTTATGAGTTGGCCAATGTTCAAATTAGCAGATGGATCCTGCCTCAGTTAAAAAAAAAAAAAAAAAAAAAAAAAAAAAAAAACTGGAGCTGGGCTGCCGTGAGTCGCCGGCGACGGTGTAGGCTGCAGCCCCTGTGGCAGTGGGTTGCCATGGGCTACTGTATGTGGCCAGCAGCCGGCCGAGAGCGGCCGTCCAGAGGCCGGCGGCTGGTCTGCCTCGCCCGGGAAGAGCGCAATGATGGTGCCAACTTGGGCCAGTGAAGCAACGTCCTCCACGGCTAGACTGAGGAACAAAACGACGGCAGCTTCTCTGTTCCCCTTCCCCCAATTCCCCAATAAAAATCTTAAAAAAAAAAGCTTGGCTTGATTCAGGGCAAAAATATTACCTTGATTTAGCAAACAAAACATTATGAAATTAACAGGCAATAAATCTTGACAATGGAAGTCACACAGTGAGAAATTGACTTCCCCCCAAAAATATAGATATTTTTCATTAAGCAACTTTTTCAATAAAAATGCTTTTATTGGTTTAGTTATAAAATAAACTTTAGGTACCAAACTAAGTTATCTCTGATCAGTAGAGACCACTCATTCATTCATCTAACACACAATTAAGAACTGTTCCATGCCAGACATGTGTTAGGCACATTCACACAAACTAGTTCGCTTAGTACTCTGTGAGAGGAACAATTATCCCCTATTTCATTCACAAGGAAATTAAGGCTTGTCCAGTTGTTGAGAGGTCACAAATTCAGAGATGAGATTCACACCCAGCTCCATCCGACTTCATGTCCATAATGTTCCTTTCACTATGCCATCGCTACCTCGAGTCCAATTTGCACCAGAAGTGGCCAGTTTGCTGCTGGGCCAATTTCTGCATTTTGGACATTCTACTTAAAGTAATTCATTAATTTCTTTTATTGAGTACTTATGAAGGTTCAAAAAGATGAATCTGATATGAATTCTAATGTCCATGAACACATAGCTCAGTAGGGCGGAAGAGACATACACAAACAATTATGTGATGCAAAGCATAAAATAATACCATAATAAGAGGCACAAAGTGCTATGGCTCACCAGTTCTCTCATTAGTAGAAGAATGTGATAGCATTGTCACTTAAAACAATTTAAAGTGAGTAGTCTTCTGATAGTGTACATTCCTTTAGATGGAAATAGTGGCAAGTGGTTTCTTATTAATTAACTATTGATACATTTTTTTAAGGGAGGTAACAGTGACAATGAATGACTTATAATTGACCACCAACTAAAAACAGTGGACATGTCGATCATTCCAGTGACCCTGCTCCGTAGTTTGATAAAGGGTAGAGACCTGAAAGCATTATCATTCTGGTATTCACTAGAACAAAATTTAATCTGTAATGTAGCATATTCATACACTCTTTCTTTAATATAGATTTAATAAGACTATTCCTCTTCCGTGATATGAGTACTTTAAAGTCCAACTCAATGAATATCTCTAATGTTTGTATTTTATTCAGCTGTTTTGGTATCCTACAAATATAAGCTGAATTTGAAAATGTAAACTGTTTTTCTAAAAAGAAAAAGGAAGAGAATGAGAAATAAAGAGATGGATGACAGTATCTGTAAATAAAGAGAAAAGAGTGGAAAAGCTCTCTGGGTTCCTAAGTGGGCCATGCAACATGCCGGCCGGAACAGCATAACCAGTGGCATAAGCTTCGAATCCTCTTCTAACTTAACTGAAGGATAATTTAACACGCCTTTTATTAATGTACATTTCCAAACTTGAGTGCTATTGGTCTCTGGGTCAGGGCTTGTCAATTCTTTTTTTTTTGGCTGAGCCATCCTGCCACCTGTTGGCAGCTCAGCTCAGGCTGGGACTTGAACCGCTGTTGCTCAGAACTCACACTCTTAAGCAAGCTCTTAACCAACCGAGCCACTCGGCTGGCCTTGTAAATTCTTGAAACAACTTTGTGCAGTGATACAGAAGGCAGCAATCCAGGTATGACAGATTTCAGTACTGATTGCAGCGGTAGATGTACACTACACAGCCCCTCCACACACATGCATGAGTGGACTATGAAGGTATGTAGTACTTTTATTATGGGCAAGACCCCAATTCTTTTTTTTTCTTTTTTAAATTGGGGAGCAGTGTGTTTTTCCCAGGACCCATCAGCTCCAAGTCAAATAGTTGTTTCAGTCTAGTTGTGGAGGGCATGGGGATCGAACCAGCAACTTGGTGTTATGAGCACTGCACTCTAACCAACTGAGCTAACCAGCCAACCCCTGTAGTACTTTTATATTTAAGTGATATCGTTGTTAAGTGTGCAGCCTAAAGGTTCAGAAAAATTTTTAGGAAATCATATATTCTAAGTCAATGACACAATGAAGGTAGAAAAAGCTTTCCTGAGAAGGGCATAGTAACACCAAAGGGCTTAGGATGAGTGACCATTGGACACCAGAGACCCTGATTACAACTCATGTGTAGGTGTCTCCAGCAGTACTTACAAATTGCTGAACTATGCGATCATTTCTGTATGTTTTCCTAAATGAGATTATAATTTGTTAGTCAATAGAAAGAAACAAAAAGCAAATCAGACCTCGAAATGGATGCCATAAGCCAGCATGAACAAATCATGACATTTACTATTTAATCAGTTATGTGATGGACTCTAAAGAAATGGACAAAATCAAACCTATCCAACCCAGTGAAAGCTGCCTTGAAAAGCAGTCACCTCAGGGACCCATCCACTGATTCTAAGGAAACTGCCATTTCAAAAAGCACATTTTTATTTGGAGATTGCCTCAGGGGCAATTTACAAACCACGCGCACACGCGCGCACACACACACACACACACACACACACACACACACACACAGAGTGTTTCATTACCTCGCATCAGAGTTTGTTTTTATAGATTTAAAACTGAAATCAATGAAGATGACAACAGAACAAGTGCACATTTTGACAACACCAAGAATGTCTTGATGAGTTATATGTTCCTGAAAACAAATAATGAACCTTTAAACAACAAACAATGAACCTTTAAACAACAAACTGAATGATACTTTCCCCCAAATCTGGAAGAACTTACTGGTAAATAGCCAAGGATAGATGAGACGTTTTCAGTCACAAACATGATCACTCCATCTGTGCTCAGTATTAGCAAAAAGCCATCTAATGACTAATGAAGAGAGAACAATAATGAAATTAAATAGCAAAACAATAATAAAATGATAACTTTATTTCTAAATGTATAAATAATTAGAATAGCACACTGAAAATGTATTGTGGTCCTTAAATATCAAAAAAGCAGGTTCAGACTTAATTAAAATTCCATTATTCTGCCTCCTACACAGAATCTACTTAACCTTAAGCAGGAGATGTTTATCAAATGATGTGTCACTTAGACAAACACATTTCAATGTACACCCAATTAACACAAACTCTCCAGCACAAGCTAGGAAGATTCATTTCCACGTCTAGGTTGTTTCACATTTAATTCAAAATTAATTTCAAAACATTAAGAATATTTTGGAGGGCATTTTCATTTGTGGTTAGTTTAGTCATCTACTTATAAATATAAGAAAAAGTGACATTGCCATCACTTTCCCGCTATATAATGGATTAGATATCCAGACAAATGCCTCCTGGTAGAAAATACCTAACATGATGAATAAAATATATGAAAACTTACATTCAAAACAAGACTGAGCTATGGCAAAGTAAGGGAAGCAATCTGATATCAGAAATGACTAGAACATGGGAATGAGGAGGTAAAAGGATATTGGAGCCTGCATTTGCCTTGGGAATACTGCCAACACTGATAGCACAGAGCATGTGGGATAGAAAGCAAAGCCAGGGGCTGCACAAGGTGGGAGGTGAAGTCAGAGACTCCTGCATGAAACCAGGCCTCCCAAATGGTAACACTGCCAGCAGGCACAATAGAAAGATCTCATCCTGCAAAGAGAGACAGGGAATGTGCCTGACTGCCTCAGCCTCCGCTCTGGCTAAAGAAGGAAAAGAAAATCTAGTCTCATCTGGTAATTGCTAAAAAGAAGCCCACACTCACACAGATTTGGAGCTGGAATTCACAAACTACCTTTGTAGCCCTCAACACCTATTATTTTTTCTTCCGTTTTCTATTTTTTAGTTTATTATTTAGTTTCAAGTGGCCCTGATGGCAGATATCTAGTAAAAAGAAATTGAAATCAGCTCTAGAGAATTATTTTAAAACCAGGGCTCAAAGAACTCATGCAGATTAAGTTCTAAAAACATGAGCTTATAATAAAATATTAATAAACACAGAAAAAAAATGAAACTGTGAATGAGAGGCAGTGTAAGTACTAAAATGCAAAATCAGATCCCAAAAAAGCAGATACTGGAATTATCCAAGATAGAATGTAAGATAAGTATGCTTAATATGCTTAAATAAATAACACAGGGTATTGAAAATATGATGAAGGAACAAGAGACTCAAACTGACAAGGCATATGTAAAAATAATCAAACAAAATGTCTAGAAATGATAATATCATCAAAAATAAAAACTCAATGTATAGGTTAAATAAATAGCATGTCGGAACATAGCTGGAAAGACAATGTTTTTAAAAAATTGAGAAACTGTGTGTTTTGCCAGGACCCATCAGCTCCAAGTCAAGTACTTGTTTCAATCTAGTTGTGGAGGGCGCAGCTCAGTGGCCCACGTGGGGATCGAACTGGCAACCTTAGTGTTATGAGCACTGCACTCTAACCAACTGAGCTAACCGGCTGCCCCAGAAAAAGAATTTTTGAACTGGAAGATAGAGCTCAATAAATGACTCAGACTGCAACACAAAGAGACACTGGAATGAAAAATAAGAGAAATTAAATGACATGGAGAAGAGAGTGAGAAAGTGCACTAGATATTTTACACATGTTCAGTTTATTTATTCTTCCAATGACTTAGTGGAATAAAGAATTTTTTACCCATTTTACAGAGAAAGAAATCAAGGTTCAGAGAAAGGTAATGCTCTCAAAGACACACAGCAAGAAAATGACACAGACACGGCCTTTGAACTTAGTGAAACTGACCAGTTCCCTTGGAGACAGAAACCATAAATATCTCATGTCCTTAAGGGAAAAAATAAGACTTGAAGGTTTATTCTTTAGACTCTAACAGTCTATGTTGAATGAGTCTACCAGATAATTACTTAACTTGTTGCAAACCTATACACAGATTTGTTCATATTTGTTGTTAGTCAAGATCAGTGGTTTTCAAAACTCATTTGGCATAAGAAACATCTGGGAAGTGTGTTAGAAACGTAGGCTCCTGGTCCTACCAGGATTAAGATTCTGATTCAGTTTAAGTGGGTCCCAGGAGTCTATTTCTACCAAGCTCGCTAGGTAATTCTGATATGCATAGTCTCCTAGCCACGCTTTGAAAAACACTATTCTTTATCTTCTATTGCACATATTCTACATATGAAGTAATCAAAGAAGAAATCCACACTTACTTGTAGTGCCATACTTTGGAAGTCTTCAAAGCTATAACAGTCAGATTTCTTTCGAGACTTTCCTTGATTGGCTTCGTGGTTTTAGAAAACGGAAGAAAAAATAGAGAATTGTCACATTAATGATTAGCTATACATATTAGATTTTTTCAAAGTTTTAATTAATTTTATAGAAAAGGCTCTCATGAGAAAATGCTGAGTAGTAATGAAGGATCTGATGTAGACTAACAGTTTATAAATTATCATAAACAGAAGTGTTCAGCAATTGAAAAGGACCTTGAAGATCATCCAGCTCAATTTCTACTATACACATTATTACCTCGCCAACAATATATTGATTTTTTTACTTACTTTTCATTCCTTTTCTTTATTTCTTTAAGTCTTCTAAATTTTACCAAATGCAGTACTCATAATATGCCAGATGAGATACAGGCAGCGGCAAGGGCTTTAGGTGTATCCAGACACTTAAAATCTCCTCTACCCCTGGCTAACAAAAGGGATCCCTTGATTTAGTTCATCTAATAGTTAAGCTTTTAGCAAGGGCCCTTCACTAGAAAATCTCTAAGCCCCATCTTGTATCTCTTCAAAGCTGCTGACACTCTTCAGTCCCTCATCCATCCTTCTCCATTCTTCAAGGTGCTCTGGTTTTTCCAATGAGCAGTGTTTCTGCTCCTGTGCTCACCCAGAGCCTTTGCTGTCAAAGTCAGGCCCCTCTCCAATCCTACTTACTCCATTAACCTCACTAATTCAGGGACTTCACTAGCACAGCCCTCCAATCTCCGGTTATTGTAATACATGTCAAGAAACGCTAGTTCCTCCTCACAGAAAATTTAGAGACCCATGGTATACGGTTTTGATCCCTATGAAAAAATGCGAAATTCCCTGACAAGGATAATTCTGATAGCAGCACTTGCTTCCTTGTTGGGTGTGAGTCTCACATCCTTTCCTATGAGTAGATTTGGAGAAGAAGGAGGCCAAGCATGAGTAGAAGAGTTCCAGAACCCTCACAAAGGAGGGAATGAAAAGAGGGTATGTAACTGCGTGAGAAGTAGAAATAATATGAAAAATAAACCTCGCCAATTGCACAACTGCCTCAAGATCAGTGCTCCTGACCACTGTCCCAGCCTGAAAATTCAGTTCTGGTCACAGTTCATCAAACTCAGGAAACAACCCATGATACTCTCCCATAGTGAATTCTGGAGTTATTTCCCCATTGACTTTCAGCTCTATCTAGTGACTTTCATCTCCTATACTCCTTCCTAAGAAATAAAAAAAGACAGAAGAGAGCCCATATATTTCCAAGAAAAAAACAACAACTGTATTTTATCAATCAATCATGAAGGGCTTTTCTACCTTACTATCACCCAAGACCTTGTTTTGTTTCTAGGATGGGTATCATATCCAATTCTTTAAAACCTGAATGCCCAGCATAGTACTTAACTCACAATAGGGACTCCATACATCCTGTTAAATGGAACCTTATTCATTCATTTATTTAACTAATATTTACTGAGCTCCTACTATGTATCTTACTCTTTTAGAGGATCAGGATACAGTGTGAACAAGATAAATAAGGTGACTGTCTTTTGTATCTTTTAAACTGGTTAGGAAGGAGACAGATAATCAACACATAGACAATGGAACCGATAATTTCATACATCTTTAAGTACAATAATTTAGACTGAGGAGCCAGGAAAGCCTTACTGAGAAGGCAACATCTGAGCCAAGGTCTGAATGACAGGAAGACGGCCATGTGAAGGCCTGGAATCAAAGCATCTCAGGCAGAGGAAACAGTAAATACAAAGTGAGCGCCAGGAAAGAATTTGGTCTATTTAAATAACAGACAGGAGGCCAAAGGGCTACAGTAGGGTGAGCAAGGAATAGAATAGTAGGAAATGAAGTCTGAGAGATAGGCAGGGCCAGATCACATAGGGTATATGATAAGGAGAAGTCTTTTAAGCAGGAAAGTGACATATGCTGTTAAAAGATTACCATGGCTGTTTGCAGAAAATGCATCAAATTGGGGAACAAGGGTAGAAGCAGAGAGTCTAGCTAGTAAGCGTCTTCAAAAGTAACAGGTGACGGTAGACTGGATGAGGTGGGTACACCCAGGATATGGAAATGGGGAGAAGTGAATGGATTTGAGATATATTTTAGAGGTAAAGCCAAAAGGATTTGTTGATGGATCAGGTGACGGGGTGAGAGAAATGGAGGACAAAAGAATGACTTCTACATTTTTAGCTACAGTGGCTAGAAGAATGATTGGTAGTATGAGTAACAGAAATGGGGAGACTGAGGTGGAGGTGTGAGAGCCAATCGCATGCAGAAGAATCAAGAGTTCCTTTGGGCCATGTTAACTTTCCTGTTAGATATCCAAGCGAAGAAGTTACACAAGAAACTCTCTTACTGGATTAATAATGAGTATGGTTCTCATCTATGGAACTCAGGTAGGACGCCAGAGCTAGAGATAGATTTAAGAAGCGAGGGTCACTGACGTCCAGGTAGCACTTCAAATTAAGGGACTGGGTGAGGTTGCCTGGGAAATTAAGTTAGATTCAGAAGAGAAAAGGTCTAAGAACTGAGCCCTGGGGCACGCCAATGTTTAGAAGTCAAAAAGGAAAGTAGGGGATGAGGACAGGGGTGGAGGGGAGGAAGGGGGGGAGGGGAGAGAGAAAGAGAGAGAGAGAGAGTGAACAATGAGCTAGGAGGGAAACCAGGTGAGTATTTTATTCTGGAAGCCAAAGATAAAAGTGCTTCAAAAAGGAGGGAGTGGTCACCTGTCCAATATTTTTGAGAAGTCGAGAAAGATGAGGACATTTAAGGGACCCAAGAATTCAGCAATATAGAGGTCACTGTTATTCCTGATGAAAGTAGTTGTATTGGAGTGGTAATTTGCTCCAGCCTCAGTGAACTGGGTTGAGGAACGAACGGGGCATGAGGAAGTGAAGACATGGTCTCTGTAGTCATTTCAATAACATTTTCTGTAAAGGGGGTACAGAAATAGGGCACAGAAGTATCATGGGGATAAGAAATATTTTTTTAAGGTAAGATTTTTGCAGCATGCTCATATGCTTATGGGCATAGCCTGCTTAGGTGTTTTGAGTTAAACATACTTAAACATTATAAGTACTATTTTACACCCTCGGTGCCATGTTTCCCTTCCAGTGCCTAAGATATAGAAATTTGCATTATTATTGCCCAGTATACTCCTATTAATTCTCATTTCTTTGTCCCACTTTTGCATGAACCTCCATAATATTTTCAGCGTCAACCATAAACAAACTTATGGATGGAGAGAAATGAAATATATGTGTGTATTAGAAGGTGCTTCAAGAGATCCCATTAATCCCTCCCCAAAATGTTTGAGGTAAAGGAAGAGACCCAGCTGTCCAACTCACAGCTAATTTTCAATATGGCTAATCAAAATGCTTAAGGATAAGTTGAGATGTTCAGGCCAAACCTTTTTTCTTCTGTGAAAGAGCACAGGTTCTCCACAAGTTTTTAGCTTCATCGTCTGTCACAGAAAAGCCATAAGCTTGCATCAAGGCATACATTTCTGTGAAGAAGGTATTAACGAACTTCTTCTTTTCTGTCTCAGCCATGTGAGAAACATTTCTAATCGACAAAAATAATCAGGGTTATTAATGGTAAGGGTAGGTCTGGAAATTCAGAGAGTAGGACAATGGATAGGGATAAATGAAGAAAGAGAGAGGGAGATGTTAATGTCAACATTTGAACAAAAGTCCAGTCCCTTGATCACTCATAGGATAACAATAACTGTCAATATTAAAACAAGGAAATGAAAGCCAATCTCATCTTCCTTAGACTGTGAGGTCCTTGAGGATAGAGACCAGATCTGTCTTTATGTCTCCCATCGCAAAGCCCACCAATGTCTAGCACGGTGGCCTAAGAATTATATAAAATAAATTCAGTCCAGATTAATTTCAATTTAATGATAGGTCTTTGTTCTACCATATGGTCTTACCTGCTTTTACACGAGTACTTCTGATTAAAGAAAATTCTTTCTAAATGATCTATAATTACTCAAGAGGCTCTCTCAAAGTCATTGCTCCTCAGAGAGAAGGCTGAGCAATAAAATGCTAATTGAGATCTCTTTTTTTTACCTTTAAAAA